ACTTCTTATATTAAAAGGATGCAATCAAATACGGGACATTCCGTTTAAAAAATGATAGATTTTGAGATTTTTTGATACTATGTTATATACTTTATTACATATTTACGCGACTCCATATACAAAAACGCTAACCTTTGACAGCCTGCCATCTCCATTGTGAGAAATATTACCTCTATAATTTCGGGCTACAAAGTACTCTTGAGTAGCTTGATCCAAAGCCTTCACACCATTTAAACAATAAATATCCTAAAATGATGTGCAGACGCCATTTTGAAATTTTCAACTGCCACTTTTACGCTTAAACATAGTACTTACGCATCAATTTCACTATCCAGAATTTCGGGTGTGCACAGGGCTTACGCCAGACCTTAAATTTACCTAAACGCGTACATTTAATATTATTTTGCTGTCAACGAAGTGAACATGTACCTGATTGTCAAATAGTAAGCTGCCCAGGACCAAGAGTCGTATGCCATTAAATCATGCAATTAGATATGGATAGCATGAGTTATTCATTGAAGTATCGACTTCCGCAAAACCTTTGTACTCGTATTAGGGTGGCCTGATGTTTTTGGGGAGGCTGGTTCGAGACCTGATTTTGATAAAATTTCCTCTTTTCGCTTCCTTCGCTACTGGTGAGAAAGTATTGTAATCGCGAAATATTTCAATAAAAAGATATGTTTTTTGGACGTTCTATCACATGCACATCACGAACAACCATGTCACTCATTTTCGGCGGCCTTGGGTGGGTCTGTCTGTCGGCCTATCCGCTAATCGTTGGCCCTTTTAGTTTATGCGTTGGACAGTACCACTCGGAATTGAATGAAATTTTTACTCAAGGTTACTAGTGTGCCAAAGACGAAAAAGCTTTGTACTATTTAAAAATCGGTTCAGCGGCGGCAGAGCTACGGGGCAAAGATGAAAAAAGAATAGAAATCGATCTAACTTCATTGTTTGACATTTCAGAACTAGTCTAATCATATTAGACGAAATAATTATAAAATCTGGTTTTATTGCTGGTAATGCGACGATGGTTTCTCGCAGATATTTGAAATTGTCCAAATTCGTAGGATTCCTACTTTTAAATAACCACAACAAAATTGGAGTAGATTGGTTAAGTAGTTTTTAAGGATTTCTAATTGTTTATCCCAAAACACCTGTTTTCCGGCCATCACTACTAGTCTATTGAGCAATATACAGGGATAGTTAAAAGGGCATTTTACAGCAAAATACACTAGTTTACCTTACTGATATGAACTGCAAACCATTTCGGAAGTTAAATGTTATTTTTATGCGAATGGGTTACGTTTTTTCTTCTAACCAACTTCAAACATTTCGTATTTGTGAGTAATTCGCAACAAAAGATCATATATACAGCCACTTTGTTTTAAAATGTGTATAGTAACGTATGTTTTTCGAATATCGTAGGGCATTTGTTCAATTACTCACAAATTCGAAATATTTGAATTTGGGTAGAAGAAAAATACGTGACCTTCGTTTTTCGCATAAAAATAACGTTTAGCTCTCTGAATGGTTTGTGATTGATACCGGCAAGGTTAGCACGTGTATTTTGCTATCAAATGCTCTTTGAACGAACCCTGTATATTGGTCAATAAATTAGTAGTGATGGCCGGAGGACAGGTGTTTTGGGATAAACAATTAGAAATTCTCGAGGAACTACTTGTCCAATATAATCGATTTTCTGTTATTTAGAAGTATGAATTCTACGGATTTGAAGAATTTCAAGTGGTTGCGTGAAATTATCGTCGCATTACCAACAAGTAGCAAGACCTGCATTTTGCCTTGTGTTTCGGCTATAACATTTTTGCTATTAGTCGGATCTTTTTACGTGTAGCCTTAATGTGTAGGCCTCATAAGAATCTAAACATCTTACTTATATAAAAATTTTGGTGTAAAAATTTTATGCATCCATGTTTTAAATAACCCCTTGAATAAATGGCACCAATAAAACCAGCCTTTATAATTATTTCGGGAAAATTTGCTAATATGATTAGACTAAAGCTCATAATCGTTATGAGAAAAGTTTTGTAGGAGTCATAAATTGGCGATTGAGAGTTTAGGGTATACCTCGAATTTCTTCCTCTTGGCCGGCAAGTGTATTACATCAAAAAATCAGTAAAATGTCAACTTGCCCACTAGGTAGTGTGCCGCTAGTTCAGTCCGCGCCTACTACAAGTAGGCATGGAATGAATATCTGCTAGTATAGACCATATGTCAAAACACCTACACCACACTGACATAAAAAAATCGATGTAATGTCACTTTTTGAAATACGTAATAAGGGTGCCGGTCTCGGTAAGTATCCTGCCATTACTGCGCTGGTGCTGCGGCTGAGGCTCTGCCTAGCCTGAGGGAAGTGTCTATGAACTAACTGTTTGAATTGATCCGTTCAATTTCTTTATTATACATCTTTGTAAGTAACATTTTCCCAGAGATTCTAACTTGTGCTGAACATAATCCTTTATGAACTGATTACGTGGCAAGAGCAGAGTTCACCTGCTCGACGCTATTTTTGTTTAGCTTAAATAGACCCAAGATGAATCATGAGACCCAGTAAATAATAGGTTTGTTCATACAGTGGTCGGTGACTTGTCAGTGACTTTGTCTGGGACCCGGCCGTCTGAACTCCGACTATGTAGAGTAGCAGAACGGACGAAATTTGTGTAGCGGAATCTTGGACACGATCTCTGATACTTTAGCGACTGATGTACGAACAGGGATAACGACGTACGACATATTTGTTTTTTATGTGTTCGGAGATCATTTTCACATTGGATAAATGCTCCTCAATGAAATACACACATCACTCATAATACATAGTGTATCTATATAAGTAGAAAAAGCGGAATCAGGATGTCAAAAGTGAAGTCGAACAATCGACCTTTACCATGAAAAAAGTGATACAGTTGACAGAAGACGACAAATCAAAGGTATATAGGACTGTGCGAAAATAGGTCCAGAGACTGGAGTGTTGACAGTTCTCCATTAGAGAATCTTGAGCTCGACAGCTACTTTTTAATTAAATGCGTCTATCCACTTCTTGCTATTGGTCTGAGTACCAGACCAGATTGCCCATTCTCGTTTACCACGTTATTGAATATCGCCAGTGATACATTTCCCTCTCAATGAGACACTCTGTATATATGCCCCAACACCGCACTACACAAATATTAAAACTGCACCTTGATACGCTGATGATGGTGTGTCCTAATTGTTAGGTTTGTAGGGAAAGCGGCTATATATTTGGTGGCGGTTGCGCTCATCTGACCCTAGCCCCATATATATACCTTTATGAAGCTATTCTGTAGAACTCTACTTTAGAACGAAGGCCTTATGGCTGATAAACTGTCTCTAAAGGGTCTGAAAAACAATCAGTGGACTTCTTAGGACCTGACCTGATCAGAAATAATTAGATTTGGTGTTTATAATTTCTATAATAAAATAAAGAACATTTTGTGTGGTATTTATATAAATATATTTTCAAATTTCCCCGAAATAAAAATTCTTAAAAACCTCTTTAGAAACTGATTAAAGAGAAGATTTACCCTAATTAATTTTATATAAAACATTTTTTATATGGCCTATTTAATTAACTACTTAAATTTAGGTAGGTCTTACCCATACCCCAAAATACATAAATATTATTGGTATATAGATATTCGTTAAGTACTATGATTGATATATAATGTACTAACTGAAACAAAGCGGTTGCGTCATATTTAGTAAATTTGAATGCCAACCTTAATGCAAAATAGATCCTAAATTGTTACGTATAGTTTGAGTTTGCCGGGTACATTCATATTGGTAAGGGTTTTCTACATACTCGTATGTGTTGTGTCATTGTCGCAATGCTTGTCAGGTAGTTACGCCAGCAACTGTTGTTTATTTGTGGTTTATTTCCGTTCTTTTTGCATCAATATTTGCATTGTTATTTTATTAAACCAGATTCTTTCAAAACTTCGAGATGTCCTTTTAAGCACTTTGCTACAATGCCGAAACTTCTGGGCCGACAAGCAAAAGAATTCGTCATTTCTTTGACGAAATATTTTGAGAGCGAACGAGATCATGGAGCTCCATTATTGCCTTTACAGTCCGTAAGAGAGGTGCTAGGTAGTAAATAGAATTTATATTAGCTCTTGTGTTTACAAAACGTACGCTCCGTAATGTTGGTAGGGGTAAGACATCGAAGGTATAAAGTAGACTTTGCAAAAAGTTTTAACTAGTGGCAACCATGTGCGTGACTGTCATTATTTGACGTTGAGACGTAACTGCTTTGATTCAGTGAATAAACTATACGTAGATTTTTTCACCCACGTCTCGAAGCGATAAGAAATTTTTAAAGCGATAAAAGGCAGAGTATGTGATTCTGTCATAATTTTTCAACATGTTTGACTACCAAAATCGACAAAATAACTGGCATTTTCTATTATCGGCCGGTTATAGCCCATTATTTTCATATTTTTTGTTATATAGCTTTCTCCGCATGATAATTTTCTCTTTGTAGATCCTTTGGGCTTGACATACCATCGCAAGTGGCTATAACCTTCCGCGTGATTGTGGTTAGATGTCGCCTTGAAAATTCGAGGCCTTCTAGCCATTTTATAGTACAATGTGTAGGTTGACTCTTGTTTTGGAGCTCGTGTGTGACTTTTTTCCCTCACCATCTTAGTTTCCTCAGGTTACACCCGTATCGGGATGTATGGGCTTGTGTATCTACTTTTGTAGTTACTATCTGCATTCATTTTGGACCTGATGAAGCCAACCAGCAGAAATACGTATCGCTCGGGTTATCTATCCTATTTTCTCCTCGAATCCACTTTTCTTCTTTTTGCGGAGTTTGCCCAATATTTTCCAATTTTTTGTTTAATATATATATATATATATATATATATACATATATATATATATAATTATATTCGGCCCCGTCTCGAAAAATAGTAATACGTAGTATCTCCATCTCTAGCGAATCGGTCATACATTTCAAAGCAAACATAACCCCTCCCGCCGCTCCCCGCTGCCGTCATCGTACTCAGTCTTCATTTGTATGCGAAAGGTTACGGGCGAACTGCCGCGCAGAAATCAACTCGTCGCCGTCGTACCGTTTAGTGGTGAATTTTTCGATAATTGTGTTTTCAAGTGTTCAAACTATGCCGAAGCGGTCTAGAAAGAGGAGTCGTAGCTCTTCTCCTTCCACTGTAGGGGAAAAGTTTTTGAAAATTGTCAAGAGATTGGAGAAGCGATTGGATAAGATGGAAGAGAAAAGACCAAGGCAATGGCATCATGGCAGTTCATCGGGAACCTCTAATTCCGAGGACGGATCCGATAGCCACTCGTATGATAGGCGTTCCTATTCAGGATCGGAAGCTGACGGTGGATCAGATATAGGAGAAAAAGAAGGTGATTATCTTAATTCCTTCATGGTGTATAATTTCAGTGGTTATGATACCACTGGTCCATACTTAAGTGGGGTATTAGTTTGATTGTTCTACATACGCTTTGGTCAAGACTGATTATGGCATCAGTTTGTTTTGTTTATGATAACAAACGTAGAAAAACTGGTTATGGCATCAGTTTGTTTTGTTTATGATAACAAACGTATACCTGAGCTAAACTGATTATGATGTCAAGTTTTCTGTTTATGACAGCAGATGAATAGTAGGCCTGATTTAAATATTTTGTTGGATTATAACTATGTGTCATTTTTAATACATTTGAATGTATGTGTATATATGTGTATATATCTATGTGTGTATGTGTATATATGTATATATGTGTATATATGTGTATATATACTTTTTTGGAATTTTTGCCACATTATATTCCAATATTAATGCAACTTCAGCATTCCGGAGAACACCATTGATCAATGTAAGAGTCATTCTAGCTAGTCAGACCCTAAATTATAATAAAGTACAATGCATCAGAAAGTAAATTCTTTTCAGATGTAACAAATGAGGGAAATAATGTTGGCGAACTTAATGGTGACATATTGTTAGCCTTGGGGGGACGAAGTGGAATTGCTAGAAACTAAGGGCCCCTCTATCCAACAGGATGTAGCCGACAGATGGAAAACGGTAATTAAGAAAGGATTGGAAGATGAAAAGAGGCGTGATATTATGAAAAAGTACCCTCCTCCGGAGAATGCCCATAATTTTGGAGCCCCAAAGCTAAATGCGGTGGTTAAACAAGCTATTGTGGATTCGGTAGCAAAAAGAGATTCTCGTCTCAGTTGTCAGCAGGCTCAAGTAGGATCTGGCTTATCTGCAATTGCAATTGTTATTTCAGACTTATTGAAAACAGAGGGAGGAAATACAGAACTAATAGAAAAATTAAGCGATGCGGGACGCCTTTTGTCGGATGTCCACCATACACTCAGTGTATCTAGAAAGGAGCTTGCCATACTAAACTTGAATAAGGAATGGAAAGAGACTCTAATTGATTCTCCTGTTGATAAATGGCTCTTCGGGGAGGATTTGGAAGAAAGATTAAAAGCTGCAAAGAGTCTACAGTTTTCATCCAAGCAATTGAAAATAGTTAAAGCGCCACAGCCAAAGAAAACTATTTCAAAAAATACTTTAAACTACAGAAGTCCATCCAGTTATCAACGGGGAGCCAAACTAGGTGGACGATATCGCCAAGATCCCAGCAATCAGAATCCCAGCAATCCGGGTTCCAGCAAGCAGTACAACTCTCGGTACAATCGCCAGGGGGAATATCCTCGACTGGGTCAATACAAGAATGCGAAGAAATACCGCAAGTATTAGAGGTAAATAAGATTGCAGGACGTTTAAAGTATTTTACAGCTCGCTGGTTACAGTTTACCAAAGATACACGTATTTTGTCTTGGTTAAAAGGTGTTAGGCTACCCTTTCTTAAATTACCTAAGCAAACAATAGTTCCAAAAGAACAAGAATGGTCTGTAAAAGAACAGGTTATAATTTCGAACTCTATTGAAAACTTATTGCAAATGCAAGCCATTTCACAGGTGGAACCTTGTGAGGGTCAATTTATATCAACCATTTTTATAATTCCCAAGGCAGATAGTACTTTTCGTCTAATATTAAATTTAAAAAAGTTAAATGATTTTTTAGAAACAAACCATTTTAAGTTAGAAGACCATAAAACGGTTTTCAAGTTGCTTACCCAGAATTGTTTCATGTCTAAATTAGATCTAAAGGATGCATATTACCTAGTTCCTGTGAGCAATAAGGATAGAAAATATTTAAGGTTCTGTTTTAGGGGACAACTTTATCAATACAACTGCCTTTGCTTTGGTATAAATTTTGCCCCAATGTTATTTACAAAGTTAATGAAGCCTATTGTGTATTATCTCAGGATAAAAGGATTTACGTCAGTGGTATACTTGGATGATTTTTTATTAATTGGTAGGACCTATGATGATTGTTTGCTAAATGTCTCTAGCACTGTTTCTATTTTAGAACATTTAGGATTCATTATTAATCATGAGAAGAGTGTCTTAGTCCCTTCAAAGACTTGTGTTTATTTAGGTTTTCAGTATAACTCCTTATATATGACTGTTTCAATACCAATAGAAAAGCGTCAGAAACTGATCGAAATATTGAAACACTTTAAGAACTGGAAACAGTGCAAGATTAGGGATTTCTCTAAAATAATAGGGAGATTAATATCTGTATGTCCAGCCATAAGGTATGGGTATTTATACACGAAATCAATGGAGCGAGAAAAATATTTAGCTCTTAGACAACATAATGGGTCTTATAATGCTGTAATGAAAATTTCTAATAGAATTGTTAGTGAAATTGACTGGTGGATAAATAAATTAGAACTTAATACTGCAAATTTTATTAGAAAGGACAAATTTGAAAAGGTAATTTTTTCAGATGCGTCTAATACTGGCTGGGGTATTTACTGCGATAATATTATTTCACACGGTTTTTGGTCTGAAGAAGAGAAAAATAATCATCATATAAATTATTTAGAATTACTGTCGGTTTTCATTGGGTTAAAGTGTTTTGCTAAAGATCTATCTAATTGTTCAATTTTATGCAGGGTAGACAACACTACGGCTATGTCGTATATAAATCGCATGGGAAGTGTGCAATATCCAAAATTAAATGATCTTACCCGCAAAATTTGGCAATGGTGCGAACGTAAGAATATTTATTTGATGGCTTCATATATTAGGTCATCAGATAATGTGGAAGCTGATAGGGCTTCACGTGAGTTGAAAACCGACACGGAATGGTCACTTCATAACTCGGCTTATAATAAATTGACCGCAGTGCTAGGTAACCCAGAAATTGATCTTTTTGCCAGTCGGATAAATAATAAATGTAGGAAATATGTTTCATGGCTTAGGGATCCTGATGCTATGGCAATAAATGCTTTTACCATACACTGGGGAAAATTTATTTTTTACGCTTTTCCCCCATTTTCAGTAATTTTAAGTACCCTACAGAAAATAATTAATGACCAAGCAGAAGGGATCATGGTTGTGCCCAATTGGCCAGCACAACCGTGGTATCCAGTTTTTACGTCTCTGTTAATATCTGAACCTATGATTCTTGAACCTAAACCAGACTTATTATCTTTTGGCAGAATTCCACATCCGCTATCGGAACACATTTCCCTGATGGCAGGTCGATTATCCGGGAAGCGCTTAAGCTAGGCAAAGTGCCAACCGACTCCTTGGAGATTTGCATGGCCTCAATCTCAGAGTCTACCTTAAAGCAATATAGTTCGGGTTTAAAACTATGGTGGGAGTATTGCTCTACCAAGAAAGCAGATCCCTATTCGGTTTCAGTAGTAACCGTCTTAGAGTTTCTAACCTATCATTTTAAGAAAGGAGCATCTTATAGTTCTTTAAATACTTATCGGTCTGCTATAGCTCAAGTAGCGGGGCGAGACTTGGCACAGGATTACAGGATTCAGAAATTTTTCAAAGGAGTCTATATGCTTAGACCAAGTTTACCGAAATATCAAAATACTTGGGATCCAGCAGTAGTTTTAAATTTTCTAAGGGAATGGAAAAACAAAGATATCACTTTGAGGAAATTGAACCAAAAACTTGTAACCCTTTTAGCATTGGCCACAGGTCAACGTCTTCAAACTTTAGCCCTTATAGAAATCACGCACATTTATAAATCAGAGATCGAAATAAATATAGCGGTGCCCCAAAGAATTAAGACCTCTGGTAAAGATCGATCCCAGCCATTTTTCCACCTTCCTTTTTTAAACTCGGATCCGGAAGTTTGTGTGGCTAGGCTTACCTATCTAGAAAAAACAGAAAATCTAAGGGGTTCTGAAACAAGTTTAATTCTAACCAGCAAAATGCCTTACCGTAAAGCATCTACGCAGACCTTAAGTCGCTGGATTAAGATTATTTTAGAAAAAAGTGGCATTGACGTACACAAATTTTCTGCGCACAGTACCAGGCATGCGGCGACGTCTGCTGCAAAAAGAAAAGGGCTAAATATGGACACAATTCGTCTTTCCGCGGGTTGGTCTAGAGACTCTAGGATGTTTGCTCAAGTATATAATAGGCCACTATTGTCAGATCAAACATTTGCAGAAGCTGTACTTACATGTTAGTTACTAAATTTTTTTCTGAAAGATGATGTTACTTACAGGGTTATAATTACATATATTACTTACTTACTATTAACTAACACCATTATTACTATTACTATTATTATTGTTACTTATATTACTTATGTAATATGACATTGTGAACATAAATGACATACCTACCATAGGTAATATGTAATATTATATAGGTAGTTCATTTTCTGTTTGGAATAGAAAATTCGCAATGTATGCAGTCTCTAATTGTTGCAATAAACTCTAAATATCTACGTATTACTATTTTTCGAGACGGGGCCGAATATAATCATAAGATCAAACGAACTTACCTGTGATGTTCGATCTTGATTATATAAAGGCCCCGTCGAAGAAAAATAGGGTCCCAACCCATCCCATTCCCCAAAAATATAATTGCAACAATTCATCAGCTTTAAAATGGACTGAGTACGATGACGGCAGCGGGGAGCGGCGAGAGGGGTTATGTTTGCTTTGAAATGTATGACCGATTCGCTAGAGATGGAGATACTACGTATTACTATTTTTCTTCGACGGGGCCTTTATATAATCAAGATCGAACATCACAGGTAAGTTCGTTTGATCTTATGAATATAGAGAGAGAGAAAGAGAAAATATTATATATACATACATATACGAGTATATGGTTTGTTAAGCTTATTTTTATTACTTTAGTCAAAACCTAGAAGATTGTGTATCAATTAAACATGTATTCCAGCCCTATCCCAGATTGCATAAGCATATAGATGCAAACTAAATACAAACCTTTTCGAATTCTAATGCATATAACTAAATGACACAAAAACTTAAATTCTTTGCCCAAACTGATGGAGAGACGTATAGAAACCCATATATATTTTGAAAAAGCAACTATCATTTTCCCTAAAAATATGTTTGGTGTTTCGTTTAAAAAAATACAATTACATCCGATAACACTTTATAATAATTATGTACACAAAACATATTACATAGAAAACTTCATATTAGATCATATAGCTTTAATTTAAAACCTTTTTTCTAGAAGGCCATACAAAAAAAGAAGGGGGGGGAGGTCAATTTATACTTATACAGGGTGATTCACAGATCGTGTCCAAAAATGAAACATCATCCACGTGGCCGCATTTTGAGGGGGGTCTTCTTTGTAAAATTTTTTCCTCGAGGGCTTTATTAAAAAGATTTGGGAAGTTTACAAATAAAAAACTATTTCTTTTAATATCTTCAAAACCGCCTACTGGAATGAACCAAAATTTGGTGTGTGGATTTACCTAAGTGTTGTCCACATTCATCTTTCTTTACTTGAAATTAATGTGCACCAGTGGCGGAGATATAGGGGATTAGTGGCATTATTTTTCCCAATAAAAATAGTACACCACTGTTTTTTTTTCGAAACGAGCAATTTTTAAATTTTACCTTCAATTTGCTACAAATAACTAGTCTTGTGCTATTTCTTCT